CTGCAGCCTGTGTAGCATCTGTTCTTTGGGCAATAACCATCAGGTAACTCCACAGATCCTAGAGGGTCCACATTACTGGTTTTTTTGTTGTTGTTGTTGTTGTAGTGATTTTAATTTAAGTGTGATTTTCATGGCCTCAACACCAAGGAAGTGAGTGTTCCTTTGGGCAGGTTGTGTCCTCTTCTCCAGCACTGATCTCAACGCTGCAAGAAGGCTGGAGGACCGTTCAAAGAAGTACTGCAACTGTCAGACAGTGCAGCACCTAAGACTCTTGTACCTTTCTCTACCCTGGATTTCAGCTGTTACTCCAACTATATGTATGGGTCAGACTTTTTTAATGGAAGGTTTATAGGTCACTGGAGTCAAAAGCGTGAAATGGTAGTAAGTGTGTAGGGCAATGGCTGCATGGTGCTTGCAAGCAACTGCTTCTCTACGTGATGCACTGTACTTTGAAAGTGCAGAGATACTCACAAAAGGTGATGGCATGTGATACTGTGAGGGGGCATTATCAGAGGGCTGTGGCTCACCAGGGGGCTAGGAAGACTGTAGATGCCCTGGCAGCCCAGCCTTGAGGAAACATGCTCCAGAAGAAGAGGCAGAGAGGCTGTGCAGGGACGGGGGTAGAGCAGCGCCAGCAGATACCACCCTCCACTCATAGCCTGGTCCCCACTGCCCCTACCCCTGGGCTGCTTCCACTGGTCCAAAACACTTCTGTAAGACACAGCCTTGGAAATAAAGCAGCGGAAAGCAGGACAAAAATTCTTGTTTCTTCCATTTTTTCTCCTCCCACTCTTCTTTTCATTATTTCTTTTGTTCTTGCTTTCCTTTTTTCTCTCTTATTTTCTTCCTTTTCCCTTTCCCTTCCCTTTCCCTTTCCTTTTCCCCTGCAACAGCTCTAAGGGTTTTACAAAGCAGGGGTAGTATTACCAACCACTGTTCTTTTTAAAGAGAGAAAAAAACCTGAAGTGCAGGGGTTTATGAAGGTTGCTCATGCCATGTTCCACCTCACACTGCCTCACCTTGTCTTCGTCCCACATCAGCACCTACAGCCAGATGTGGCAGCTGCTACGGGATAGCAACAGCTCCCAAACCAGGCAGAAGTGCAGCCGAGAGCTGTCTGTGCACATGCACCACTTCGAGATGGCATTTGTATCAGAGGAAGTGCAAGTACAGCAATCTGAATTTCATTTTATTCTTGAAGGTTTGAGATGGTGTTGAGGTGAGGATGTCTGAGATGGCATTGAGGAGAGGATGCCCTAGTGATGGGGGCACCAGCCCAGGAGTGGCAGGAAACTGTGCTCAGCTCCCTGCTCTCCGACAGGCCTCTGGTGAGAGTTTGGGCTGCTCATGTAAGCTGGCTGAGCGATGGGGTGTCCAAGCAACCTCCCAAACTGTTAGCGCGGAGTTCAGCAGAGCACCACGCTTGAGGGAGCAAGCCCCCGTAATAAGCCAAGATGGTGAGCGTTTAGCATGTGCGTAGTGTCACGCTGCTCTTACCTACTGTGCCTGGAACAACTCCAGCCCTAGTCACTCCAACCTGCTCTGCGCGTGTCCTGGCTTTCGCTGAGACTTTCAGCCCCACAGGTGGGTACGTGATGAAGGCATGGCCTCATGGGGTACCTCATCCATCCCCCTCTCAGGGCCTGGAGAGGTCAGAGCTGAGGATTGCAACAGTTCATTTCTCTATAGGTTTAGGCCTAGAAATCTGGGAATCTCTCTTTCTGTAACACCACCTTCTGCATACAGTTCAAACTCTTTCTCTTTTCCCTCAGTTATCCCTCAGAGCTTGTGGATCTTCACATAACAATGCTGGAAATGCCCCCAACATATGCAGCCCCTCAGCCGGGGTAGGGAGGGAGGACTGCTCAGCGCTGGCTGGTGGGTGCTGCAAGACAGCAATGTTCCCGTTTGGCACATCTGTTTGCTGTTTCACAAGCCATAAAAATACAATGGTGACTCCTCCTCAAAAATAAAAGCTCAGGAAACAATTTTTACAACATCAAGTTAATACAACGAGTATTAGCACTGCCCAGAGCTAGCTGGAACTGATATTCTGTATGAATTATCAAAGGAGCTGGGTTTCTGACAGCTATGAACCTTGCACCACTGTGCTGGGAGGTTGAGATTTGTTTAAGTGGGGGCTGAGATTAAACTTTAGCTAATGTTTTAATACTTCCAGGTTCTAAGAAGCAAAATACCGTTTATATTTTGAGATGGTACCTCTAGGACAAAATATGAAAGGAAGAGGCACTGCTCATATTTCATCTGGATTTCATGGCATTTCTGGCCATATTTTTAGGTTAATTCCTAAAGGACAGTTTTAATCAAAATTAATGCAAGAATGCAGTCACAAACTCATTACTTTGGAAGAAAGACAGCTAATTACAGAGTACAAGCATAGGGCAAGCAACCTTCATTTTGCATTTTAACTATGCTCTTAAGTCATGAACTATAAACCTATTAAGCTCAGTTATACATGATTCAGTATCTGATCCCAAACCAGTAACAGTCATTGTATTCTTTTTAATAGCCATAGGAGAAGACTGATGAAAATTGCACTGGTAACGTGCTCATGATTATTCAATGGCGCTTTTTTAAGCCTGCAAATTCTGTGCTCACTTGCGCACGCTGTGCCTGCATCAACTCATTGTAGTGAAACAGGTAATTGTAGCCTGAGATTTACTGACAACATACCCAAAGGCTCTCAAATTTTGAAACTGGCTCACAAACCCTCTATACCATAACAACTGTGCTCACATCTGGAGTTTATACTACTTTAAATAGGTAAGTCTCAACATACCACTCTAGCAAAATGTCACAAAAGCATTTCTTACTGCTATTTTCCAAAAGAAAATGTTAAGTAGCAGAATTCCTATGCTGAAAGCCTAAATGGGCCCTTCTAACAAGAACAGTAGTCTATGAAGAAGTTTTCTTTCACTTGTCTTTTCTCTGTAGTTTGCATGACTTCTGCTGCTAAGTTGGTTGATGAAAATACAGAACAGCTTTATATCTTGTGCACACAATTTTGCATAAGTTGGTAACAACTTGCACATAATTCTCAAAATTTCAGCATACAATTCCTCAGTGGTTCTCCTATGGTAGTTTGTTTTCAAGGAAATCCACTTCTTTTGGATTTCAGAGCTTCCTAGACTGGGGACATTTCTATGCCTGAGCTTTGAAAAGTAAGAAAGAGAAGAAAACACATTAAAGGAAATGTGACTCTGTATGCTTGCTGCCAAGTACAAGAAGAAAGCATTTCAGGATAGTCTACTTAGACACAAAATAATAAAAAGGTTACTGAAGCACTGGCTTTGATTTATCAAGCCAACAAATCTGGTGATAAAGATACACAAAAAGCTGTAAGAGTTTTGAATCTGGAAGAAGATCCCCTAAAGTAACATTATGCATACTAAGCAGAGTTCGCAAACCCCTATGATGCATGCGCCCAAGTTCCCCAGGGAACAGGTAAGTTCTGTGCACCTCCAACACTTTGCTGTGTATTATGGTCTTCACTGTAAATCTTCATCAGTCAGCTTGCCACCTTTCTCTCCTCCAAAGTCAAACACAGAAAGAGATGAGGTTTGGTGTAAACACAAGGCCTCTTTATTTTGTTTCAACAGTACATGACTTCCCATTTAGCATGATCAAAACCAAGCAGAACAGTGGAAATCACATATACCATTTTTCCTAATACACTGCTTTTCCTTGAAACTACACGAGTACAACAGGAAGAATAAATTCAACAACATTAACTGCAGTTAGGCATTTTTCACAAACGAAAGAACCAGAGCCTATGCACAACAGGCAACAAGCAGACAAAACCAAGGACCAGAATCAGAAAAGCTTACTCCAGTGAGATACAAACTCTTTTTTGGGGAAACAAGGTTCGTCCTGAAGCAAGGTCTGCAAACTTCCTCAGCTAAGGAGTATGTGCAACAGCTTTTTAAAAGCTTCATCAGCAAAAGTTGTTAAAGGAACACACAAACCAGCTCTGAAGCCACAAGAACAGATAGGACGCAGATCAAAGCCTTCAGTTGTCATAGATAGTGGTCCCTTCTACTGAAGGCTTATCTCCAGGGAGTTTTTGTACCTAAATGTACCTAAGAGCACTTGGCTGAGCAAAGCCTGTGGGGACTTTCTATGTTTTTGCCAGCTGCTCACAGTTTACATCCTGGTCTTGGCTGGGTTTAATTGTTACCAGCTAACTCAAGTGTGTCCTGGTTTCAGCTGGGATAGAGATAATTTTCTTCTTAGTAGCTGGTATTTTGGATTTAGTGTGAGAATAATGTTGATAACACACTGTCATTTTAGTTGTTGCTAAGTAGCACTTATCTTAAGTTCAGGATCTCTCAGTTCCCCATGCTCTGCTGGTGAGCAGGTGCACAAGAAGCTGGGAGGGAGCACAGCCAGGAGAGCTGATCCAAACTAGCCAAAGGGATATTCCATACCATAGAATGTCATGCTCAGTATATAAACTGGGAGGAGTTGGCTGGGAGGGGCGGATCACTGCTCTGGCATCTGTCAGCAGGTGGTGAGCAATTGCATTGTGTGTCACTTGTCTTTTCTTGCTTTTTTATTATTTTATTATATTACTTTTCATTGCAATTATTATTACCATATTATTAATACTGTTGTTAGTACTACATTTTAATTTACTTTCGTTATTAAATTGTTCTTATCTTAGCCCATGAGTTTTACATTTTTTCTGATTCTCCTCCTCATGCCATTGGTCAGGGCGCAGGGAGGTTGAGCGAGCGAGGGGCTGCGAGTTGCCTAGTTGCTGGCTGGGCTTAAACCATGACAAGTCATTAAGCCAAATCACTGCATCTATGAGCTGTGCAAACATAATGACATCTACCTGATGGGACAAATATTTTGAATTTAAGTGTTAGCCAGGTGGGTGTAAGATTGCTTTTTAGCCTTATCCTTCTCCCAACCCACTCACTCAGCATAATTATTTTCAAACTAAAACCAAGTGTATGAGAAACCGCAAACTAAAACCAGAATTAAAGTGAATACACACTTCAGAGTCCTTACCAGGGGAAGGAGTGTGAGTCCAGGCATGACTATTGCATGCACTTCTACAGAAGTGACTGCCTCTGCAGAAGCCACAGGGGACCTCACTGGCTGGAGCACACTACGATTCAAGGCATTTTCCAAGAAAGAATTTCCACTAACATTTCCTGGAAACTACACTCCAGAAACACTGCTCAGCCTTTCAAGAAAAATTAACAGTTCTATCAACTTTACACAACAGATTGTTGTTGATGTTGTTGATGTTCTTTTGGCTTCCCAAGAACTGTTTTTATTGCTGTTGTGTTTTTGTACAGAGAGTCTTGCAGATGTCATTTGCTGGCTCCTCTGTTGAGAGAAGCACAAGTTGTTGCACATACAAGGGTCTAGAACAATCCCCCAACTTTAAGCCAAAGTTCCTAGTACCTACAAGTTCACTGTTAGGTATATGCCCGTGTAATTTAAAATGTGCTGTGCTCTCTGCAGTGTGCTTAACTTCAAAGCAATCTGATTTTTAAAACAGCTCATCTTCAGTTACTCTAGTCACACCAGATGCTTGTCTTCCCTGTGTCGGGCTCAGTCACCACCACGCCACCAGGCACACAACAGGGGATGATCTTTGGGACATGCAGGAGCAGAGATTCTTCCCTGGGACCAGGCTAGTTAAGTCTCTGACCTGGCCAATGCCAAATGTTTCATAGGACATGTGGAGATAAAGCATAGCGTGCCCTTGCACCAGGTTTCTTCTGGAGTTGTTACAGGTAATTTTGATTTAAATCTTGAAGTAGAGGTTAAGAGTTGAAAAGTGTTATATAATTATGCTATGATTAGCTACGATTATTTGGGCTTGTATTATTAAGCATGTAAGTAACTGATTTGGAAATCTGCTCAGTTGTTGGGCCTCAATGACTTTCAGAAGGAATGAGGTCCATGATTTAAAAGAACACTGACAGAGAATGTATCTTCTGAGTGTTTCCCACCTAAAACTTCACTGACACTTCATCTTGTTTTTATGAGGTCCTCTGATTTAGCTTCTTTCTACTTTGCATTGTTTTGTATTCTGCTACCACCCTTTTCAAATTTCTTCTCGAATCCTTGTTTTTTCCCCAGCTCTTTCACAAATTTTAAAAATTCCTTGGCTTTTTTAAAAAAAATCTTCTACTTGTACACTATCATTTTAGAGATGAGTTGACCACTGCTACACACAGGGCTGCAGGTAAGGCAGCACCGTTTATTCATACAAACCCAGTATTTTAAAAGCTGTCCACCTTATCATCTGTTTTGGATTGTTCCTGGAAATGCTTAAAACAATATTTTTAAACATCTTTTCTGAGCAATATTGTTGATACCTTTTCCTTTTAAAACTGGGATATTCTTTGAACTTGGGCCTTTTATTTTTCAGGACTTTCATTTTATTTTTAAATGTATAATCAAGAATAGTTGCAGTCTCTTTTGCTTAGTAGAACAGTAGATACTTAGCAGGAATTATTATCTTTTGCTAATCTGCATTGCATAATCACAATTAAAATTTAAAAAATCTATTTCTCTGTAAATATTTTTAAATTAAAATATTACTACTCATGTCAGCTTTCATAAAACCATTATAACTTTTTCATTCATGAGTGTATAATCAGGCACAGACTTTTAAACAGGGTCATTTTAACGTTTCTTTTCTAACAGGAAGTGCACTTACAATACTGAAAATGTTCAGTACAGTGAACAAATACACATTTTTTTCCCCTACAAAGCTTTCTGATTGCACAAAAAACACAGAATAAATATAAACATTAGGCCAAGGCAACATCTTAAAGTGCAGAACTCCACTTGCCACACATGACTAATTCATATAATGCTGCGTAATGCATAGGCAATACTTACTAGCATTTTATTAATTTCCAAAACCTGAAGTGACACGAGATCAACATATAACAGTAATTCAAATACATTCCATTTATAAGTAAGTGCTCACCTGAACATAGAACACATTAAGCATATTGTCCCAACAAGCAAGCTTTCTACAAACTACCCTTTTTTTTCTTTGTCTGAATGGTGCACTAACATTGAACACAAAGACACATTAAGAAACAAAGATCTCATCCACAATCTCGCAAGAGAACTAATGGGGAGTGACATCTGGAAACAGTTGTGTGTACATTTTCCCAGAGGTTTTATCTTATGTCAGTAGCACGGTGTCAATTTATACTGACTGAAAATTATCCCTTTCTTTCTTTCTTTTCTTCCACTTACTCATCTCCCCTTAGTGTCTGGTTGCTTAACTTTAACTTTAACTTTTTTTTTTTTTTTTTTTTTTTTTTTTTTTTTTTTTTTAGGGGGGGAAGAGGGAAGGACAATTGCTTTAGTTTGTCTTCAGCTACTAAGTTCTGTGACAATGAGGATGGAGGGGGAACAGTCCAAGTCCTAGCCTCCATTAGCATTTTGGTCTGAGACAGTAGTGCTGTTCTGAAGTGAATTGCTAATCATCCTCCCTTACTGAAACTTGGTTCAGTTTGCAGGGTGGTTTTGGTACACAAGGATTAAGTTTATTTTGGAGGAAACTACATTGGAGCCTAGCTGCATGCCAAATATACTCCAGCCTCTAAAAGAGACACTAAGAGTCTGAACCAATTATTTGGCCTGCTTCAAACTGCATATGCAGTGCGGACATCTGTCCAAGGAAAGAGACTACATGTAGTCTTAAGCTGCATATAGTGTAGATGTATAAGTCTCGGCAGTAACTGCTTTCATCTACTGACCCTCCCTTACTGCACCAAGTATCTTGGCAATCTACATACAGCCAGAGAGTCCCAAGGGCCGAAACTTCACAGTGGGATCCTCAGTGACTTTCCCAAAATTGCTTCAGAGACATTTGGCTACTACATCTTCTGTATCTCCTAAAACCTTAAAATTTTTGCACGCAAGCCGTCTTCCACTGAACAAGCATTTGGGACTACCTCAGAGGACACCACTTTGACTTTTTTTCTGACATTACAGCCTTTATCCATTCAATTCTATTTAAGATACTGTTGTTGAAGGTACCTCCCAGTTTTTTTGTTATATTAATTCCTCCACTGCCTTCCTCTCATATCAAATTCAGGCTTCTTTCCTTTACCCCGAAGCACCTCAGCATTTAGTGTAACGCTATCGATCTTGGTCCTCGCTTCCCCTGGTCTTGGGCATTGCAGGGTGCTGCAGTCAGCCCATGGCACTACCAGCAGGCAGAGCTCCTCCTCCAGCTGAGATTCTTAAAAATTGGATTCTCCATTTCTGAGTCTGGGTAGTGTCTGGGTACTAGACACTAGTAAAGCTATAATCAAAAGGCTGAGTTCCTACCTTGTGTCTGAATTTAACAAGAATCAAACTGCTTATGACACAGCCAATATTCAGATACAAAGCTCATTCGCAGCAGTTATCCTAAGGAGTCCCTTTGTAACTGGGCCAGTGGTATAGTGTTGAACTTGCTGAAGTTTTTCTGTATTCCCAGTCTGCAAATAAGCAACCCCTTCTCCCCTGCAAATCTTTTAAGGAGAAATGCTGAATCCCATTCTTAACAACACTACAAAATAGTGAGAGAACAATGAAGTCTGAGACAGTTAAGACCACAACTGAAATAAAAGCACTGATGTAATTCATAGCTCTGGAAGTGAAGTAGGGTACAAACATACATTGTACACAAGGCTGTGTAATCTTTCTCCGCCCCAGAAAACATTCCTGCAGGAGAGCCAAAGCTGAAAACCATGAAACTCCCTAAAAATAGTTTCAAACAGTAACTGGGGAGATTAAAACGTGTCTCACAGATCTTTGGTTTTGGAACATGAAATTTGGTCAATTAAATTCATGTCAAAATTCATGAGGAAAAACGCTCCCTGAATCAGGAAACCAAGTTAAAAAGCTGAAGATTGTATTTGCCAATCAAGTGTGCGACTGTGTAGGTGACTGGGACACATGAAAAACAAAATGGTTAAGAAACCACCCTGATGGAATGTGGAAACCTTATCCTTAAATCTTGACTCCTAAAGCCTTAGGAATCATTGAACGTGATGGGTAGGAAGGCTGTGCCTCCGCCAGCACAGGGCACAGCGCAGTCAGAGCCCTGCGACGAGGACACCTGAGCTGGCTCTCAATGCACAAGCGCGCAGCTGCACGCGGGTGGTGTCTGCAAGCCCATGTACCCCCCAAACCCCCCCACCGCTGTTCCGTGGGGCTGCTCAGCTTTGGCAAAAAAAAAACCACACTGAAAAGGCTGTACTGCTTTAAGTGCCCAAGCAAGCTTTTACACTTCCACTCGACGCTATCCTGGCTCACGTAGGCGTAAGCATAATGGTATGTGAACTCTGAAAATGCTTTTAAAATCAGAAAGTTATCAGCGACGTTGGGCCAAGCGCTCTCTCAGAAGTAGACATAAAGTGAGACTTGGGTGCAGTGACCCCCCTTGTTTTGTGAACAGAGGGAAGTCCTATGCCTTTATGTTGCCAGGCAGTGGAATGAGAGTGTGAAACAAAGCTTAGGAAATCAAAGGAGTTTGAAGCAGGCCTTAAAACCATATTTAACGCATGTTTATAGTAACTCAATACCATATTGTCTCTATTGACACTGAAATTAAAGCTTACAGCCTTTGTTTTGCAAAAACATAATAAAGAAACAAGAAGCAACCCCCTCCTCAGACTAATCTCGAAAAAAAAAAAAGAGAAAAAGTCTCTGAAAAAAAGTAGGAAAATACGCTTTTTAAGAAAGGAAATCACAGAGATTTCCAAAACAAAAAGGGCATATTTTTTACTTTGAATTGTACAGCGCTGGAATTATGGTTGCCACGTTGAAAGACGCAAAAGAGCACGTTAAAGCTGAGCTGCTTTTTCCAGTGATGATTTCCACCTCAAGTAAAAGGTGGTAAAGGCCACAAATAGCCTGTTTCTCTTGGATGTTTCTATAAACCTACTCACTTCCCTTACAGAAAGGAGAAGGGACATCGTATGGTCCTGTCTGAACAGTCAGGAGCAAATGAGCTTGGGAAAAGTTCTGCAGGAGGCTGAACTAGACGAAGCACTCCTTCTAGTCCAGAAAAACCTCTTCATTTGTTTGTCATTGAGTAGCCTGCTCAGGTATCTTAGTGCCTGCTTCTAATTTAACATGTTTCTTTCTGTCTAACTATGAATGACAAATCTGAACTCTTTGATAATAAGGACCCTTATTTATTTATAAATACACGCTTCTTACCTAATTTATCTTAAAAAAAAATGGTTTAAATGAAATAATTACTTTTAAAAAAATAAGCTCCTAAAGAAAACTGGAAAATGTTCTAAATGCCCCAAAAGGTCACTGATTTTTCCATATTTGGTGATAATATTATGGAAATTGCATTCTTCCATGATACAAATTATCTGCAAAATCAATTTACTAGCACTGTTTTTTTTTTAAATTCAGAGGCATTATAAACAATGAGAGTCTCACTTCTCTTTGTAATGCTTCCTACAGTATTATTAAAAGGAATAGCAGGCGTCCTCTTTAATTAAGGTATTTACCAAATCCCCTATCAATGCACACATGCTATTTTTACAGATAAATTTTGAATATCCATTTCCTCTAGAACTCTGACAATTTTGTTAAAGTAATTCTTGAACGGTCTAACAAAATTTCTAATGTTTGCAAGTTTTAAAACATTAAACAAAAAATGAGGTGTCATTCCTGATGATCAGGCACTGTGTTTAAGAAATCTTTTCCAAATCAGATGCAGAATGTTCAGCAGAGTATTTTGCGAAAGGGAAACGGATTTATACTGAACTTGAAAAAGGAACCACTTGCTTTCCAGCCACATACACTTCAGAAATATTCCGATCATCACCTGAAATAACATGGTCAAAACGGAGATTTGCACATAAATCTATGCACTGATTTAATTAATGAAAATTATGCAATCCACAAAATCAGTTTTGGAATACATCATTTGCAGTGACCATTTCCTAGGACTGAGAAAGTTTCTTTGAAGAGAAATAGTCAGGGCTACCACAAATATCAATGGATGTTTAAACTACCCATGCTTTTTTGAAGAAATAAACATAGCATTCAGCTGCTGCAGTGGTGTCATGGTGTCATTTCTATATATTTAGTAGATTCAAAGCCTGAAAATATTATATATCTGTACAGAAAACACATTGTTGCACAGTATCTGAACTAACTCAGGTACCAGGCTGCAGTAAAGCTGGTTTGCCTCAGCCAGCTTCTCAAAAAGGCAAAAGCTTAATTAGAGAATGACACAAACATGGCCAGAGCTAACACCCATTACCGCTACATAACAACATAATGGGCAGCACAGCCCTAGGTCCAGACGATGTCCTATAAAGAATATCTATTCTCTTAGCAGGGTGGGATTGTTTGAGTGGGGTTTTGTTTGTTTTAAAGGCCTTTTTTGTTTGAGAGTGAAAAAATGACAATGGCAACTGGTCTGCAGAAGTCCTTCTGAGCTGAACTGTTTCTGAACTGGGGATTAGCACGTCAGTGTTACTTTACTGTGAAACACGATTTAGCTCATATTGTAGATAAAGAAAGACAAGTGTGGTAATAAATCTGACAAATTTGGTGCATCTGATCATGTTAAACTGACTATTTGACTACGTCCCAAAGAACAAAAGCCAAACCACTTCATTCTTACTCAGTATTTATAAATAAAAATTAATAAATGTAAGTAAATGTATATTTGATTAATGTAAATAAATATTAATAATGGTGACATATTAATGTTTATATACAATGTAAATATATTTAATTACTGTAAACAAATGTATATTTAATTATTTGTAAATACATGTAATATTAACCTCCACATTAATTTAGGGAATTTTTTATGTATGAAACAACAAGAGAATTTTGTATGGGCTGAGACTCAGAACATACCTAGATACAGGAACTTCTGGACAGTGTCCTATAAAAAATGGGAGAAAACCAAATTCAGAAAACAGTATCTGATATCCCAGATCATAGTTATTTGAAGCTTGAAAGAATTGCTAGAAATAGTTCTCACAAATATTCCTACTAACAGTAAAATCAAAACTTAATTTGCATGTTTTCTCATAAATAACTTTCAGTAAGGAGGCTGTATACCATAGGAAGAAAACACCGCACAAGTTTGACAAATATATGCCCAAAACACCATACCTCCCCTCCCTCTTTTTTAGAGTTCTCAGATTCACTTATTGAAAAATAAGACAAAATTGTAAGCATTTTTAAAGTCCTAAGAACTGCTAACTTACCTAAAAAGGTTTAGATTTCTTAAACTGGAAAATATTTTTTTCCAGAATATTTGAAATAGGAAAAAGATTTAAAACTTAAATAATTCAATCTAATCCAGATTATTGTGGCTGAAACAAATTAAGGAACAATTACCTCACCACTTATGCCCACATTTCTAAGTAAATGGCGACATTCAGAATAGAGATGGTGATAGACAGTCTGGCCACATAAGTAAATTCAAGTTGTTCATTACCTTTTTAATTATAAAAGGTTTCTGTATGAGAAGGTGTGCTCATTGCATAATGCAAACATTGCATATATATTTGCATAAAACCCATGCTTTCAACTCAAATTAGCTGTCTAGAGTTCTTGCTTAAATTTACAATAGCAGTGCAGTCAAGGCAACCTAGTCTATCTGGGAACAGGTTGCCATTTTTGAGTTTGAACTCAAAGTGTTAACTAAAACTGAATTGCTTTTTCTTGGCTGCCATTTATCACTGCAAATAGCTAACTCTAATTGTCAGCTTGGGCTAATAAAACATACATTAATTAATGCTGCATGCATTTTTGTTCATGGGGATATGAGACTGTCACTGAGGACAGCAAGATTCTAAAAAAAAACAACCACAGAACCTCTTGGGCTGAAACAAGACAGCAGTGGTGGAGTACACCTGACTCCTGCTACTGGAATAACCTCAAGAGACTTACTCTGGCTGTATCACAGACCTTCCCCACATCATTTCTGGTAATTTTTTTGATCATTAATCCTGTTCTGATTACCTCAAAATTATCAGCAGAGAACAAGTCAAAAGGGCTGTCTGAAGCCTTCGTGTTGATTAGCAGTGCATCAAATTCTTTGCCGACCTCAAAGTTTCCAATCACATCATCTAGTCCTAGAGCTGAGGAAGAAAATAAGATCACAAACAGATCTTCAACACAAGCCTCTTTCCACCATGTGGAAGCACCTGGCAACTTACTTGAGATGTTCATAACAAAAACTACAAGAATTTAGATGATTGCAAGGCAAAACTTAAAGCAAAGTCAACAGTGAGTATGTTAGCATCTGAGTTCTTAAGCCACTCCTCAGTAAAAACACATATATTTTGTGAATTTCTGAAGAGCATCTGTTAAGGGTAAAAGAAACCTGAAAAACAATTTGAACCCCTCTTTTTATTTTTGTTCTTTGAATGTTCTCCACTGATTTTGTGTCATTGCAGAACTGATGTATAGGCCACTGTTTAAAGTGAAATAACAATCATTTACATTGCAAAAACATTAAAGCTTCAAAAGGGGCAATGAATGAAATGAAGTCAGAGAAACAGTAAAGCATATAATAATACTCACCTTGTTAAGGCAGTATTAGATTTAATCATTTAAACAGTTTAAGCAACTTTGACAGGTTGTATAGACCTATTACTATAGTAACGTATAATAATATGATAATAAAAGAGGTGTGCAGAGAGGATACCTAAGGGTAATTAGCAGGAACAAAGAACAATATGGTGTGGAAAAAAATCATAGCTAGATCTGAAGGTCTCATAGCTTGTCTTGTGGTCTGTTATTTAGCTTTGTTATTTCAAAGCTTCATTACAACCTCTGGTTCTCAGGTCCACAAGCACTGAAAATCTGTAACTTCATCTTCAGTGACTGGGTGCTTGCAAGTGCTTGGAATACCTGAAGAGAGGCCTTTGTGTCTCCTTGGAAGCGATTTAGGATAGTTTTAAGTTGTACAAAGTATCTGCGTATTAAATCAACTTTTCTAATACTCTGGAGTTAAACTAAGTTATCAAAGGGGAAAACATCTGCAAATAACCTGTTCACCTGTTTTCAGATTGCTCCTGTCCAACACAGGAACTTCAGCCTTCAGTGAAGTTTGGAACTCCACAATACCTCAAAGACGTTGAAACTCCTCCAAATGGTGAAATATTTTGACTACCTACCAGTTTCAACGAAAATGATCTCATATTCCTTCAGGTTTGTGAGCAGACTGCAATTTTTAGATTAAACACAAGAGGGTGACAAGTGTTTAGGAGTCTCAGCAAAGCAAATCACTGCAACAAAGAATCGCTCATTTAAATTTCCGCAACTGTACTTGTCCAGGCTGCTGGAAGGTTGTACGAGTAATTTCTACCCGTGAAAGTGATTCAGTAAGGGTAAAACAGCTCAAAATCAATATATAAAATAAACACATTACTAAGTACACCTAAAAACCCAGATAAAACAAGCGCAAGAGTAGCTGGAAAGGGAAACCACATGAGTTCAGGATTTTTATAAGTTTTCCTTTCTGTATCTCACCTAATTTATTCTCACCTTTTATGAGAACAGTATATATTGTGGGGAAAAGATCTCTACTTTTTTGTCCCCTGCCCATTTTCTGTCTTCTCTATTTCCCCATTACACCCTCCAGAAATTCAAATAGTCCTGAGAAAACCTGTTTGATGACATTTTCATTACATCTTTCAAACTTCTATTAATAGTTCCCAAGGTGTTTTTTGACAACTACAAAAATATTACACTAAAAAGACTTGGGGCCAGTTCTTTAGCAGGTAGTGAGCTCATTTTTGCTAACTGGAACAGTAATAAATTTTTACATATGTGTGGATTTGCTCTCTCCTAAGTTCGGTTGCTCTCATACAAGTTCTGTTAAAACCTTGCTAACTGTAGAAATCAGTACATGCATACTGATCACGACGAAACATGCCAGTGAACCATAATAACTGTTATACTATATGACTATATTCCGCAGATGCAACTGCAATTTAAACAACCATGGTGCATATCCTGTTTAAACTTTGTGCTTTTTTCTGACTGAGCAGTGATTTGCATGATGTTTTGATTTGCTGGAAAGACAGTGACCTTACTGAGAGCTCAAAAGGCAAAAACAAAATTAGAAACTGATGACAAACAGGATGCATGATTTCACAGTAATTGCACAGCTTTTCCTCTTAAGTGTTGGTTGCTGAGAAAACAAAGACTTTCCAATTGGTGTGATAAACATACAAGCACTAATGATTAAGAAGTCTGAGGATCTTTGCAAAGGAAATGTACAACCCTGAAAAATCATTAAGACTCTACTATTAAACTCTCAACATCAATACGAACACTCTTCTGTGATGAGCCTAGTACAGGTACGAGAGACTGATGCATATCTCTACCCAGCAGATACCATTTTAGACTTCACTCTGGCACAAGAAAAATCTGTGAATTCAGCCACCTTTTAAAGACAGGGAGACATAATATCAAAACGAGTTGTAGCGCTCTGTGTACATCCTAAAGAAATTTCTTCTTACCTTGGCTTCCTCCTAGAGTGGCTAGTTGAAAAGCTTCTTTAAGAGTTAGTCCTGTTTCATTCACCTTATTGATCTCAAGGCTATTAGATGCTATCAGAGTTTTCCTGATGGCATCAAGCATAGAAGCTGAATATCCACCAGCAACATCTAGAAGGGATCAGACTCTTAGAAACAAGCTTTGGGAATAATTCTCTGGGTTAAATTTCTATGAGCTTTAATTAAATGTTACAAAGTGGCAGATGTGGTAAACACAAAAAGTTTTACTGCTGAGTACTGCCTCTGAATGTATAAATCCTAATAAAGGTGCTCTCCCATTCAAAGTCAGGTAAATAGAACACAACACAGAGTAACAGAAACCTGGTATAAGTTCTTGTTCAAGCCCCGTTTACTCTCATGACAGGAACAAGATTTTCTTCATTGATTTTTGCTTTTCTTTTTAAACACTTCTGGACCAGCTCTAGATTACAGTACTCTAGACTTCATTACTCTAGAAGTAGTGGGGGAAAAAAAGCAGGTCCATAAGTTGGAGACATGCTGACTTTTAAACACAAACAAGCAGACATGTTTTTGTATCTCCCAATGGTTTCCAAAAGAAACCATTTTTACAGCAACCTACTAACCTGTGCCAAGGCCAAGCTTCACGTCGTGTTTCAGGACCATTTGCACATTTAATATACCGCTGCACAACCTGGGTTGGAAGAAGAAATGTGTTCTGTGTGATACACGCAGAGAAAGTTCAGGAAGAGTAGGGTTGTACAGTCATTTAATGACAAAGGCTCTCAGAACGTGTGAAACAGATTGTGTTTATTAAACTGGGATGGAGCATTTGCACTCATATATCTGAAAGATAGGATTTAATCACTAAAAATAAAGGCAGTTTTTCTCAGTTAAAAACTCCCACAGTTTTATAGTTATCTGCTGAAAATGAGCTCCCAGCATACCTGTGAAAAAATCCAAATATGATGTAAAGAATATTCCCAGAGATGGGAGGTCATTCCATGAGCTCCAGTAAGTCATCACAAACAAGATATTGATTATGTTAAAGGCAAAATGACTGTTAACATAACATTTAGTACAGTATCCTGGCTGGATACCACACAGTATCTCATTATCGCTTAATAGAAAGAAGGCTATATAACCCATTCCCATTTCCCCCAAACATAAGCATACTTTGGGGCAAAGGGAGATGGCCTGAATCTGCCATTGATAGAACAGTCAAAAGAAATAAAGTTTAAAAATAAATATTTATTTATATATACATATATATACACACACATATACGACTATACTGAACAATCACAAGTCAGTCCAGAGCATACCACGCAGAAGTGGAGCATGAATGGTCATGCTCAATCCAGTATGTCACTTCTGGTGTGTCCTGCTTTCAGCTGGGATGGAGTTAATTCTCTTCCTGGTAGCTGGTATAGTGTTAAGTTTTGGATTCAGCATGAGAAGAATGTTGATAACACACTGATGTTTTCAGTTGTTGCTCAGTAGTGTTAGAGTAAGTCAAGGATTTTTCAGCTTCTCATGCCCAGCCAGCAGGAAGGCTGGAGAGGCACAAGAAGGAGACACAGCCAGGGCAGCTGACCCAAACTGGCCAAAGGGGTATTACACACTATGTGATGTCATGCCCAGTATATAAACTGGGGGGAGTTGGGCACGGAGGCAGATCGCTGCTTGGGAACTAACTGGGCATCAGTTGGCGGATGGTGAGCAATTGCATTGTGCATCACTTGTTTTGTATATTCCAATTCTTTTATTATTAATATTCTTGTAATTTTATTATTGTTATTATTATCATTATTATCTTCTCCTTTCTGTTCTATTAAACTGTTCTTATCTCAACCCATGAGTTTTACTGTTTCTTCCCAATTCTCTCCCCCATCCCACTGGATGGGGGGAAGTGAGTGAGCGGCTGTGTGGTGCTTAGTTACCAGCTGGGGTTAAACCACGACATGGTGGAATGGGGTATTATATACAAAGCCTTGTAATGGTAGGCTGAACTCAGGGTACTGCTAACAACAGCTTTATTTAATTGTACAACATTCTTTTTTTTCCTTTTTTTCTTTTTTTTTGTTTTTTTAACTTACGAAAAGTTAGAACTGGGGCAATGTGAAATTGCAGCTCCACGAAGACTAAAAAGTTTCAGCTCTTCTTCAGAAAGGTGACAGGCATGAGCCATCACTGTCTAAAGAAAAAGAGAATCACCAATTTACTCAATATTGCATTTAATTTAATGCCTGTGATTTTTGCTGTACTGCTTTTAATAGCCAAAAGAACACCTGTTACCATCACGGGAAATTAAGGCACTTCTTGAATGAAGCTCTTGAAATCGACAGGTGAGAAACTCTCATTAACTTCAGTATGCCTGACATATCACTCCCTCAACTTTTATTCATTTATTAATGTAAGAAGATAATTGTGCTGACTCTTGCAGTGTCTGCTGTGACTCAAGAGCTTCAAGGAACAAAAGCAAGAATTCCCCAGTCGCCCTAGCACTGTAATAACCTTACAATTTATACTTTGTAGCTAACACAGAAATTAAGTACTGGGGCTAGGAGTACATCAGATAAAATGGAAGATGTATGTACTCTTAGCATGTTTCCCATTGTCTTTCTAAAGGTTTGCACCAGGAAGATATATATATTTGGAATATTCTTTAATTAAAATAATATAATTTGTTGTGCAACTGATTAGTGACTTTTATTTCTTGGCCTACATAGATGACTTTAAAAATAAGTTCACAAGCAGTATACACAAAACATGGAAGTATAGAATAGTATTATTTAATAGGGCATAAACCAACTATTCCCAGACATATCTAATTGGAATTACCTCATATGCCAAATGCCCACTCAAAGAGAACAGCAAGAGCTCTGTTAGGTCTTGCAATCTGCTGATAAAAATGAGAACAGCACAGAGACTGTTTCCACTGAGCATCTCCTAATAGCACTGTACCCTTGCTGTCTCTACTCATCAAGCTCAAATGTAAATGAAAATGCAATGAGAATAGCCACATCTTAAGTTAAGGACATACGTATGGTAGCTGCTGAACTGTATCTCTGCTGATCTGTACTTCTTTTTAAAAAGAAGGAAATATTTCAGCCACAGCTCTGAAAAACATACTTTTAAAACATTAAAAAAAATAATTTGGTGTCTTAGTTTTGGTGGTTGGGGAGAGGGAAATGTCTGTGGTTTTGTTAAGCTTGTGTTTAATAGAATGCTTCACCAAACAACCAGGAGCCTGGCACCAGTAACGCTGGTTTTCAGTGACCATTTTCAGCGCTGTGCATACAACAGTCTGACAGAGTTAAGACCTATGTTTTTGCAGCAATAATATTCTCTGTAGTACACTGACACAACAAATCAGCGTGCATAGGACTTTGCAAGAGAACAACAGTTAATACTGCGTACATACTTAAGTAGTCCACATTGATTTCTCAGGTAAAAAGGATCGTAAGTAAGTAATTTACTGGGACACATTTTTGTAGACAGAAATAGGAGTTCAGTGGCTAATTCCCAATGAGTTTCCAGCTGCCCTTTGTGCCTCTGAAAATTATTTCCTAAAATTTTAAATCAATTTGACTGATGTTTAAGCACTCTGACTGTAGTTAGGCTGTTCATATTCACTCTTGCATGGGCTCTCCACTATCTAATATGGTGTGCCCTGGCATTCCAACCTGCACTTAGTGTGGGCTGATATCGTATCTGCTTGTATTTATCTTGCCAGCAAAAAGCTTTAATGAATTTCAACTTTTCAGGCCACTGTGCCTTTCAATACTTGGTAAAATCAGCTAATGAGAAGAGAATGCTTTTGGATAGCTGGAACAGTAAAGTGTACCTGTCTGCATGTGAGATTCACACAGAGAACACGACAGGACAAGCTGCTTTTATGTAGGAAACTGCCAAAAAATGAAGCTGGTCCTACCATAACACCATAGAACACATCTTCAGGCAAAACCAATGTGAAGAACATTGTAATATAAGGATAACTGGGTACTGCCCAAGAAATACCAGCTCCTGCAATACCAGCTTTACCTAGTCTCCTGATCCCACTGCCCCAATTCTCTTTGGAGCCCTTGGAAAATGGATCAGGGAGCAAAAGATACCTTTATTGTTCATCTTCCCTAAAATGCTTAGGAAAAGTGTGGGCTTATCTAAAGTTCCAATACCTTGACCAACACCTGTACAACAGAGAACATAAAACCAATTTACTTTCTGCCAGATGTCACTGACCTTGACAAAACTTTTGAGGTAACTACAGTTAACCATCATATTCTCTACCTGGATAAATCTAAACTATGTTACGGAAATTTTTATGCAGCTACCTTACTGGTAAGCAGCTTGTTTTTATCATACAATTCAGTGTAATTCTGGTAGGCCGGAAACATGTTCTCCACAACTTTGACTTCTTCTTCATTCTCACTTATGTGACTCTGCAATAAGAAAATATATAGCAGTAAGTACTTTAAATAGCATTAAACCTGACACTACAACCTTCTGAGCAACCTACTGGTGTTAAACATGTAATGATAGAAACTAGTATTTGTAAAGCCTATAGTTAGATCTAGTCCTTGGGTTTCTCTTTTCATCAGAGAGGTCCCTGGGACCCAAAAATGTAGCTCCATTTGTTCCTTTAAAAGTGATTTGAGATGGTATGCCTGGATAGTCCATCCCAGTAATCTGATGACATAATGCCCCACTTGGATTTGGCAAATGTTAAAATAATAAATAAAATAATACATAGGACTGTGAGGTAAAAGAGAGAACCAGCCAACCACAGAGTGGACCCTGGGATCAGGGCAACATATAGGTAGCTGCTCCATGTATCTTCAGACGGGCAGATTAATTCCTGGCCTCAGATAAAAATCTGATCTTCCTGTACTCCCATTGGAGCATATATTTTCAAATGCCCACTCCGTAATGACAAAAAATCCTGCTGTAGGATAGCTTTAAAACAGTATATGCTTAGAATTGTGTAACCAAAAAAGAAACATTTCCAAGTTTCAACAGACCTGTGAGCTTTAAAATACGTCTTTTTTAAACACAGAAACTTCATCACACTGGAAATCCTACAGCTATGTTAACAATGTTAAATAAGATACAAAGATGAGTAATTTTTTATCTGCTGAAATATGCTGTGTACAGAAACAGCAAAAGGCAGAGAGACAGATGTAACAGCCTTGGACTAGGGAGACCAACCTTTAGCAATGCAAGGTTGCTCTAATCTACAATACTGGGTGCCGGTCTCATAGTGACGATGCGCTGGGTCTTGCTGAATTATGCCATCCTTCCAGCTATGAACCTTCTCATTTCCTGTGCAGGTCACAGTGTTCTTGTGGAGTATGATTAACAATTTCAGAGGAATTTAAAAGACAGGCTCCAAGGTAAGGATGTGGTTTGCTGAAATTATGAAAACTCCCTGGTCTGTATGCCATCTATCCAAACTATTTAAATTGTATACAGAGCTCTCAGAGCTTACCTGCACATGGAGATCATGTGCCTGTGCTAAATTGCCAAGTGCATGCAGCAAATCCTCTGTGCAGGAAGGGCCAAAGCGGGGGGTTATTATAGGCTGTACCCTCGGATACTGAAAAATATTAAAAAGACATGCTTGGGATTCTACATCTATATATCATTAAATATAATTAAGACAAGCATTCACACAGCAATTACATTTTATCTCCATTGCTTATTGCTTGCTGCACCCTTGCCAACTCAAATTAAGCTGTATAGTAATTTCCTTATATTTATTAGAAATTTCACTACAGAAATAGAGAATCAAAGTTTTTTCTGAAAACAGTTTTAATGAACCTTAGTGAAGAAGTTTCTTTCATTACAACTCCTTCATCAAGTCACTGAGCTTTTACCAGACTTCAGGAGAAGCACTGGATGCTTTTTCATATTTGCTCACAGTCCAGTATGCATTACCAGAAATAAGTCAGATGAATCACCAGATGTTTTTCTGAGTCCCACTTCTGTGACTATCAGACATAATGATGCAAAACTGCAGAGTTCTGTAAAACCAAAGCCTTTTTCTTGTTTGATCTTTTGCACTCATGATAGCAACAAACTGTCCCTATACTCCCTGGGCAGGAAGATAGATTCCTACATAGGAAGAAGTGGTAGCACCAGGTATGCTACATAGTAGGAAACAGTGGAGGAGACACCAAGACTAGAGCTACAGAAGTTTACTTTACACCTTGCACTTCTGAATTAAATTAAATTAAAATTTTCATAAAAAGTAGACACTGGCATTGCAACTCTGCCTTCAGACATATGCAATAGTTATGCATGTGGCACCACTAGAAGACAGTATATGGTAACTTGGTTTGCAGTTTCTTACACCATCTCACAGATACAAGGTGGTCAGGACTTCTGCAGATTAGCCAATTTACTCTACTAATACATAGTCTTAGTCTAGAAAAGAGGAGGCTGAGGGGAGACCTTATCACTCTCTACAACTACCTGAAGGGGGGTTGTAGTGAGGTGGGTGTTGGTCTCTTCTGTCAGGTGACTGGAGATAGGACAAGAGGAAATGGCCTCAAGCTGAGGCAAGGGAGATTTAGGTTAAATATTAGGAAAATTTTTTTTACTGAGAGTGTTGTCAAACATTGGAATGGGCTGCCCAGGGAAGTGGTTGAGTCACCATCCCTGGAGATATTCAAAAAGCGAGTGGACAGGGTACTTCAGGACATGGTTTAGTGGGCGTCGTTAATGGTTGGACTCGATGATCTTGGAGGTCTTTTCCAACCTAAATGATTCTATGATTCTATACGATTTAGACATTAAACTCTAGGCATCTGTTCTTTAGTATTTTGAGATACAAATGTCAACAAATTAAGCCACTGAAAACAACAGGCTGATAAGAAAAGTATCCCTGCTCGTAATATTGGAGGGTAAACCTTTACCTCATGACTGTACGCCTGAATGTCTTCAGAAACACGCTGGAAGACATGTGCTGATTCAGAATACTAATTTGGTAATGGATTAGTAACTACCGTAAAAACACTGATATCTGCTGCTGAGAACTTCTTTCATCAGCCAGTTTGTATACCACAGAGTGATTTACTGACTTCCACCTTTCTTTAACAGAAAATTGTCCTTTCTAGGAAGCTGAATATTTTAAAGTCAATAGAGAACATGCACAGAACATTACTGTGCTGTGCTCTGACACACAAAACTGAATTTACACAGCTACAGGTCCATTTCTCAACAACATGGCTAGCAGAATGTTCTTCAGACTGATGATATCTGTCTACTACACAGAAAGATGTATATTTATTGATTTGTCACTAAGCCAGCAGTGTTTGTCAGTGGGATTAAGTATTTCATGTATTACACAGCATCTTCTGAATACAGAAATGAATAAAAAGGAGAACTCTACGTACTTTCTTTTCCAGTAGTTCTTTAACAAACCTGAAAAGGGTAAAAAAAAATCTGTTATAAATCTGTCATCTGTGTTATAAATTATGAAAAAGATACAAAATATTTACTTAGATACCTTATTAAGCATTTCAGATATAGATCAATTTTTTTACAGAAAGTTGGGCCAGATTCTCAGATGAAATAAAAAGAAGCAACACAATCAAGTCAGGATAGTTACACCAAATTATGCTAGTTGTGAATTTGACCCTGAATATACAGAATTTTTTTCATTTGCAATAATTAACATTAGACACGTGGTAATTACTCTGAGTTCTCACTGAAAACCAAATGCACGTTACATTAAATTCATTGAAAACATAATTATAAGCTAAAGCTGCAACATTAGAGAAAAAAACCACTTAAATTTGTAATTTTGGTCACAACAAACATTGAAACAAATTTGTCAAATGTCTTCAGATGGAAAAGAAAAGAATGCTGGAGGCTAGAATCACAACACTGAAGCTCGTGCTAGATCACCAGCTGGAAGTAAGAGACCTAAGCTCAACTTCTGCAATGACCAAAGGAGTTTGAGCACACCATTGTCTAACTTTGAGAGCCAAAACACAATGTGAATTAAGTATCATCTGTCTGCCTCTCCTCTTACTGATTCACCTGATATAATAATAAAATATTCACTGGAGCAGAAACTGTAACACAAGTATAATTCTCAGGTGATAATCCAAAACTTCTATATAGCTGTTTTCATTCTTTTTCACATTCTTTGAACTGCGTCGGCATTGTTTCAAAACCAAAATACCTTTCTCAAAATACCCTATACTTTCTTGGCTTATGTACTTCTCTATGAGGAAAGAAGCTCGGGTTCAAAGCACTGTCTTCTGTAGCTGAAGAACAGATATGAAGTCTTTCCAGGTGACTACAACAATTGGTAGCATACAACATATTCTAGATTTCAGTTCCCTAACTTTTTATTCAACCGTCTTTGCAAGAGAAGGGTAGATTCAAATTCTTGAATTTAGATTTAGTATATGAAGCACTTGGAATTGTATATTATTTCCATGCATACAATATAAATATTTCCAGAAGCTCACTGTAAAGAGCTGAAATCAGTGTAAACCATTTTCTGATGGTGTGAGAGATCATACTTCTGTTCTTTAAAAAAAAAGTTTCCCCCTTAATGGAAGAGCTTTTTCATCCTTCTGCAATTGTTTTGCTGTGATTCAGGCCTGATGAGGTAAGTACTCCTGATCCATGCTAACAAGCACGCAGCTCTCTTCTCTAGATAGCTCTGGAGTACTTGTGGCACACTCTCATCCAAAGCTGAGAAACATTTGTTATTAACACAATCTCATGAGAAGGGAGTTGGAGGTATAAGATGGGTATTTAAAAGAAAGCTATTTAGATCATTCTGAAGCTTTAAAAAAATATGAGAACTGGAAGTTCTCTCACTTTCAGGCCCATTCAGCAGGACTCGTATTATGGAAACTAGGCATTTATGTGAAGGAGAACAAATGTTAGTAGAGTGCAAATGACTAATACTACATGTTTTCAAAATGTCTTTAAATATAAACACCATTAGAAATCCGTGACGATTTCTAACTTATACTGGCATTCTTCTAGCATGATTTGCAAAAATAAGGTAGCAACTTCACACAAGTGCCATAAGAAGTTTATATTACTGTTAGGTATTTTCTCTTTCAGCATCATATTTGAAACATCTATAGAAGTAAATAAATAGTCCCATGAGAAAAGCTGTATGTTTGCTTAAGCATTTTCTGAGCATGGATGCGAAAGACAAGGGAAATATAAGACAGCAGGCTGCCATACTCCAGCCTTGGGTCCCTTCTGCCATTTACATTGCCTTGATTTGTTCTCCTTCATTCCCTCAGCTGCAAGTTAGAGTAATTTCACAGTGCTATGCTGGGGGAGAGAAGAACGACAGTATGTTTAACATGCGGTATATGACTCCTACAACTTGAATAAGGTTTGATCCTAAATGGGGGAAGAAAATAGTTCACAAGCTAATGGGGGCAAACGAACTGATTACCACCCCACTATCCCATGTCAGGTCACATCACCTCCACATACAGAGCTGTGAAAGGAAAAGAGGAGGCAGAAAAGGGACAACAACATACACATATTCTCTCCAAACAGTAGAGCTGTAGCTTCTTCCTTTCTTTGGAAGAGCTAGAGAGAAACCACTTGGGCTGTGCAGCAACTGGGCGTGCAGAAATTGCCAGAACTGTAGGAAACAATACTGTTGGAAGAAAAACCCGTTCCTAATAAATTTGCACCTGTAAGTTCTTAGTCAGCTTCACATTCACTTTTCAGATGTATGAAAAAGTCTTATTTCTAAAGGTTGTGCCATCAATTTAATCACCTTACCTTTCTGTCTCTTGGACAGAGTCAGCAGTAATTTCTTTGTATTGTGGCACACTGTCATTCACATCCATGCAAACTTTTCCAACAAATGCTCGTTGACCAAATTTATCTGTTGAGATGCATAAGAATATAAAACTCAGAATCACTGGTTCTTAAAAACTGCTATCAAAGCCTGTACTGCAATCAAAATAGCAAATTCCACCCCAGCCAGCTTCCTTTAAGATTAACAGAATTTATGGTCTTTTCTTATCTTTAAGTTGGGACAATCCATGTGACTTTTAAGGCTAAAAAGGAAAGAGAAAAAACCCCACACATCTAAATAGGAGTCCTCCTCTTCCTCATTAGTACCCAACTTTATAAATGTTATAACTGAGGACTAGATTACTGTAGTTTAACCACAACCAGAATCCATAATGGTAGTACATGAAGAAGACGGCTGTGAAGTAGAGGATGAGAAACACAAGCATCAAAGTACAGTAGCTGTAGTAGATGATTACCCTGAGCTGAGAAAAGGCACAAAGATCTCAGTAAAACATCTCTCCTTAAGAGAAAGCAATGAGGAGGTTCCTAACATGCCTCCCATGTGCAGCTGGATGGAGAAAATTACCAGAGCTACTTCTAGCCTCTTTCTTGAGATTTATGCAAGCTAGGACTCAGAACTCATGTGTAAGACTTAAAAGGAATGCATATAATCCTAAATTCTAAGCTTTTAAATGTGTTTGTAAATTAGATCTTTTTTGTCCACTTTTACTGTCTGAGTTGCTAAATACAATGGCTTCAGATTTTTAGGTTTTCCTACAAAATCAGAAAGACTAGGGAATTTTTGGTGGAAACTGAGATTCTCATTAAATTGCTCTGTTTTGGGAGCTGGTTGAGCCTTGAGAAGTCCTGCAAGAATCACACTACTTTCACACAGCAGGCATTTGCAATGGTGAACAGAAGGGAGGGACAAGATCCTGGCGCCAGCTCCCACTGTTCTGGTTTCAGAGGGTATGTGAAGATTTTTCATGTTGATTCTCAACTGAAACTTCAGCGTATCAGGAAATTAATGCACTGACTGCATGTCTTGTCATTCAGCTCCTTTAATCCTCAAACAGCAAAAGACTAGAAAGAGCAGAGAACTGCAGCAGAAGAGCAACTCCAGCAGACCTAATTCAAGCTCAGCCAGCAGCTAATTTGGGAATGAACAGATTAGCAGAAACAACAGTAGGAAAGAGGCGGTTAAGTGAACAAGGGTAACTAGGGTGGATTTTGGGGACACAGTTTGACAGATACAATGAATAAAAACCTAATTAGTAGAAAGACAGATCCCTAAAACTCTTAAGCTCTGTTTCCTTCAACTAACACAGTCTGCACAACATCCTTCAAAATTCACTGTTAGTCTTACCTAAAATTTCAGCAAGAAGAAGAGAAGTATCTGTGTAAATTGTTGCAAAGTAGCAAGCTGTAGTCGTGCCATTCTTTAGAGTTCGTCTCTATAAAAAGAAATCAGTTACAACTTGTCTGGAAAAAAAAATAGTCAAGCTGCCAAAACACAGAACAGGCAGTCTGATTTCAAACTGCGAGAACATTCAGTTATTGTGAAATTGTGCAGTGAAGTGGCAAGGTAAATTATAGATTTTTAATTTCATAATAGCTTTTTTAAGCCTGAGGTTTAATAAAACCAAAAATTCTTCTTCCAAATTCATACAGGATTTTAACAATGGCTAAACACATAGAAATCAGTCTGTATTTCCTTCACTTAAACTGGAAATAAATTCTGGCATATTTAGAAATACAAACAACCAGTCATTTATGTTACTTCCTAGTTTTGAAAGGCTCTCCTATTTTCACACTGAAGCACTGTACCTAATGTTAGCAAAGCAAGGCTTTTGGGAAAAAGTAGTGGTTTTCATGTGGCCACTTGATGTGGCTGAAAAAAATAGCCAGGCTTTCATGCATAAAACCCCTTTGTTATCCCTGAGTACAAAGTAACAAAGTTCAAGGTAAAAGTAAACTGAGAACAACTGCTCAGATTATAATTTAATTACTTATTTAATTATGCCATTTGAAAGGAGAACGTGGTTGATACCTGTTCATATTACTTTTGGAGGATATAACAGTAAACGAAGAGACATTTAACATTACATTAAGTCATAATGACATTTATAGCTTCACTTGATCTTGGGCCTAAATGCATACTATATTGACTACCCATCCAACATACAGGTTTAAATTACATTTTTGGATTCTGGCTACAATCGAGTTTGAAAATGTTATTATTTTTTTTAATGAGATAGAAGGTGGGACATCCAACACAACTTTTGAGAATGGCTAGAGCTAATTATTTGACAAACATGAAGCCAAGCTCTGTCTTTTCCATACAATATTCATATTAAAGCAAAGAATTAAAAATATGTCTTTAGGGGTTCCTAAAATGAATCTCAAAAAACCCAATGTCATTACTGAGACAAATTACCTTTGCCTTTCTTAGCTTTTAAAACCCAGAATTCTCTACTTCTGGATTCCTAATATAATTGTTAAATGAAATCTAAAAACATTCTGTTTCCAAAACACCAGCAGGAAGAATTGGCTATCCTAAAATTTGAGGTCCAGAGGAGGTTCCAGCTAAAATCTGGCAAATTTCACCTGATTTGTTTCTTTTACCAAGTATAGAAAGTGTTCATTGGAAACAGAATTTTGATTTGAAAAAATTCACTATGCTTTCATTACAACTCCAAAGTACAAAGATACATATGAAAAACTGTGTCTGCTCTCTGCAGTTTTAGTTCTATTTCTAACAGCTGAAGGTTATTATCATCCCCGTCAAACATTGCAGAGCAACTGGTATTCTGCAGCATTTGGGGATGAAGGCATTTTCCTGACCTTGTCCTATTTGGTACACACGGGGAGAGCCTAACCATTGTGTTCAAGCTCCTACAACTAACTTCCATCTCCCACTGGCAGTTCTTTTCCAGGTGATGTTATTAAACACCTTGCACAGTGAGCACTTTAGCTGTGCTGATGTCACCCAATCTGAACTGATAGAGACAGTAACAGTATGTTGAGGCACACAGCTGGAAGGTGAGATCACCTCTATAGGTGAGTAGATGAAGGCATGTGTTTGTAGCTAGAGTTTATGACCAAGCTGCTCCTACATGTTTTTATTATGGCAGATGGCAGAAAGTAAGTTTTTTAAAAATTTGTGAGCAAGGACAGTATAACTATTTATTTCAGATTCACTATGTTATTATTTTGATAAGACATGATGTCACAGTATCAGACAAATGCAAGGCAACTTATGCTGGTCAAATCATTTAATCTGTTGAAGATATTTCAGTCCACATATTGAAGGATACATTTCAGTTATAGGACAGAATTAGCGCTCTGCAATGTGACCTAGCTGCTTATTGTTCATCACATGGAATTTGACCTTAAAGCCTTTATATTGCTCAGAACCAGCCTAGCTCAAATATCTCTCTCTTTGTGCCACAATACCATTGACAGACTTCATCTAAAGCACCTGCAGTGAAAGATATTCCTGCTACAAGGACCTCAGCTGTAGAAAGGTCTTCCTTTACTCCAAAACACCCCAGATCTCTTGTCTGTGAGAAGCATCTTCTCTTTCAGGTAGTCTTTGCAGAACACAATTTCTTAATAGAGGCTTCTTGTGCAGAAAAGGAAATATCCTCTGAATTTTTTTTTTCTACCATGCTTGTTTTTTTCTGCATTGAGGTTGTCAGCACCTGCTGGCTATACCAGCTTTGAGAGTACTCTTAAACGTTGGTCATTGCACTCAGATATCAGAAAAGATGATAAACAAGTTCATTGTTAATCATGTGATTAAATGAACTGTCTTATCAGCAACAACAGAACAAGACTGGAACTAGTAGGGGACAATCCTGGCTGGCAATTAGAACAATGGCTATACTGTTGGTTTTATCTGGTTTTCATGACATTAAGACATGCTCTACTATTTCTGCTGACCTTCTGAAAACATACATATATTTCACATATATGAATGTCGTCAAATAGATAAATGACATTTACAGTACTTACAACAACTCTGGTGTAGACTTCTTCTGCAAAATCACTGTCTTTATATTTGGCTTCTGTTGGGAATGTGTAAGTAGTTAACCACTGAAGAAGAGGTAGATCTACTCTTGTACCAGTAAATGAATACTGAGGGGCATGAATGTGTGTATCAACCATTCCTGGCATGAAGAATTCACTAGGGAAAGAAAAGAAAATTGTAATAGTCAAAAATGTCACAAAATTTTCCACAGTAAATATTTCAGCATCAGCCTATCACCTCCTACTGCACCTCCACCCATACTCCTTTTCTGGTATGAATAATAACTTTTACACAGACTTACATATAGCTAACTGAGAGAAAAACAATGTAAGAGCATGATTAATCTAATTATCTTTAATATTTACCCAGACTAAATACCAACAAATAAAGCCAAACTGACTTCACAATAACTAAAATTACTTCACCGTAGAATCCACCAGAAAAAGAGAAAATTTGGGCACAGTCCTACTTCCTAGCATGGATGTATTTTGATGCCTCTAGCTGCTAGACCATTACAATTACAAAACTCTAACTTGCCATATCCCAGTTTTCTCTGCATTATATACATGTGTGTATATATATTCAATCAATGAATTTCAAGGTTTAATGGAAGAACAGCCACTGTGTCTACAAATGCAGACACAGACACTGGTGAAAAAAATCTCTGCTCAATATCTTGACAGGGAAGGCATATTTACAATGGAACTGTAATACTGTTTGTTGTCATGTAGTGTGCATGTAATAACAGGGATGAATATATCAACATTATCAGGAAGTTGCTATGACTATTTTGTGCTGGAACTCCATACAGTATAAAATTTCTCTCACTCCTCTTCCCTTCTCCCGGACTACTGAATGAACAGTGATTTTGTCTCTTTGTAGTTACCCTTCTTCCTGTTTTCCTGCATGCTAGAAATGCTGAAAGACCTTTCTCAGTCTGCACCTTCCATTTTCCTCAGGCTATTTCAAGTGAAGAAAACGTCTGATGACTCATATATTCTGTATGATTAGCCCTCCAATGAAGCACACAGATTTTTTAACAACTGAACACTAAAATGATGCTGCAGGTCTAGATTCTAAGCTACAAGTCATTTACAGTTGTGCTACTGCATGCAAACCACAGTAGGTACAATCCAAAACTATTTCACTTTACCAGGAAGGTGGGCGATTTAACCAGCTGAAGAAAAAAGAAACACTCTAGCTGCAATATAGTTAGAAATCCAAGGCTCTGTGTTTAGAAGGTTTAAAACTTCTAATTTTATTAGTTTTTATTAGGGAGTGTGTCAAAGCCCAAGCAATTAGTTTTGTATCTGCATTGTTAGTGTTACCTACATTTACCAAGCCTAGACTTTTGAGCTAGCTAGGCCCAGCTTGCTGCTAACAAAATGGATATAAAATGTAATCTCAAGAAAGAATGTAATTTACTTCTGTAAGCAGAGAAGAGGTCATGTATGAAAGCTAAACATGCCATTTTGTTCTGCACAGTGTAAATCAGCCAGCACAATTCAGCCATGGCTGCAGTCCCAAACCAAGGAGTGCAAAAAGCATACGGACTGTCCACTCTCCAAGTCCCATCCGGGATGCAGACGGCTCTTGTGTTAAGACCTCTCACTGAGCTGAAAAGTTTTGGCCATGAGATTGGATTTAATGTGCTCCCTGCCAAAACGTGTTCACAGAGACCCACATGACTTCACTCAGAGAATAAATTGCATTTGCTGAAATTAAACAAAACACATACTAGTTACTCAGTTCTCTTATGTCAGATGTTCTGAACCCCCACTTCTTAGCCAGTTGCTCTTGCTGATCAGATTGTTCCAAGAACACAATCTAAAAGAAAGAAAACATAGTTAGATACTTGTGGTGGTTTAAGCCCAGCCGGTAACAAAGCACCACAAAGCCATTCACTTAATCCTCCCCCCTAGTGGGATGGGGAGAGAAAATATAAAG